TTGTTTCAATCATTGTATTGATGTTTGGGGTTGCGATTGATCAGTGTGTTATTGGCATATTTGCATCCTATGCGTGTTGCCTCAATATTACTTTAAGTTACAAGCTATCTGAGATGAAATGTGTGTTGTGGATTCCACTGCTAGCCACCATCCATCTTTATATTTATAATGCTTGTGAATGAGAGTAATTTCGAGACAGTCTACATAGAATGCATATATATATAGCAATAAGAGACTGATCAATTACACTGATAAACAACAATGAGAAGATACAAGTAAATGATATCAAATGAATTTCAACTTCATCCACAACTTCATGCACAAGCAGTTGACTATCACTACTCAATATGTAAGTGATAACATGATGGTGTTTGAAGTGAACAATTACGGGTTCGAGTCCCGAACTGAACATCAATCTTGTGTATTATGTATGTAGTTGGGAAAACATTTACAATATACAAACTAGTAAACTGATAACGAATTGAATTTGACAATTTCATGAGAATACAGAGAAGCGTATATACAACATTCATTCGTTCAAGTCATGTTTTGAATGAAGTTGGTTAAGATTAAGAGAAAAAGATTCGGAATCAACTTTGTTTGAAATGAAGAACTTTGGTTTCTGGATTTTCATGACTTTTGTTATTTTGATTTTGAATGCTGTTGAAAATTTACTGACTATAATAACCATTGGAAATGGTTGAATAATGTTGAGTTTGTGGAATAAAATGATCTAAAGTAGATCTGTCCATCGACTTAACTCCACATTTACTGAACCATACTAGAAAGTGTTTACCGTAAATGGATGTGAATGAATAGAACGTTGGCTAATAGAAATAGTTCTACAGTGGTAGTTGAAATTCACTTTCATTAAACTGTATGTTCTGGAAATTTTTTGGACTTCGCAAATTGTATCATGGACTGATAGGAACAAGACTAACATTGAGTACAGATGAAGAACACTGTCATTTTGTCTTGACATAGAAGTGCTTGGAATTGTTTATTCACAATATCATCAGGTATCAAACCCATGATCTCAAAATATAGTTTGACAACATGGTCTTGAGATAAGTATGTTTCCATTCAAAGTTTGATGCATTTAACTCTGGTCAATTCACTATACTTCTCAACTGTCATCCGATGTTGTTGGTGAACAACTCCTTCAGTACTGATGTGCAGTATCTCCACTGATCACATCTTCTTATTAAAACTCGGGGAATCGCCCTTCGGAATTAATCCACAGTAATGACATGATGTTTTTTAGTGTTGGTTGGTTTCAGAGTGTTGAATTTTGTATTTATCATTTGATATAATAACTCGCCTAATCATTAATTATAATATGACTCCTTTGATTCTGCATTAATTACATATTTACTTGATTACATCTGTTATCTGTTTCGGAGAAGGATAGACCTCTCGCGAAACCGATTATACTTTCCTTGCTTAAATGAATTTTATTCAGCTTAGTATAATTTGATTGTTGGAATTCTTTCTATTAGGGTTAAAACAAGTGATTTCCCCTCAGGTGATTGTTAACTTTCTAAACGATCCAATTTCATTGATGTTCATCTTTAATTTAGATAACTTCGAATGAGATTTCATATTAATTCAATGGATTTTATTATTTACATGATGAATTAATCTCAGTTAGAGAGCTATTGAAGATCAGTAAGCATTAGGCATCTGTTTTGTCCGGGTATGAAACTCCTTATCAATGAGCATCCATGACCCCACCTGAATGAACGAATTGAAGTTAAACATGTCAATCATTGGATACCAACTCATTGGTCTAAAGGTGATGAGCTCATCATAAGACCTCAAGATCCTACGTTTAACACTCTATTGAGTAGTGTTTGAGAATTGCTCAAAAATCTCATACTAAGATGAAACAGATATCCATAGTTTCCTTGTTTTCAGTGGTTATCTTAGTAAAACGAGTTCGTTATATAAATTATACAATCTCCTGTTATCTGAAAGTATTTTTAATCAAAATCTCTAGTTAACTGTAAAATCTAATAGTATCATGTTGTAATGAACAGGCTGTAAATGTTTTTGTACAGTAGCAAACTTATTGACTTGAATAAATTAGTCGTTTAATCCTCTTTTGTCTTTATTATTTGTCCAGATGATGTCAACATAGAACAGTTTATTGCCATATTGACAAACATCTAAAAACTAAGGTTAAATTGCAGGTAACCCAATATCTCTAACTAAAAAGATCCAAAGAGAAGTTGAAAATTTTAAGAATCGTGGTATTTTTAGTCCTACTAGGAGTTATCAAATACAGTAACATACGTCTGTATAGGGTTGTGGACATTGTTGAATTTCATTGAAATTGTGAACTGATATAAGTCAAACCACCATTGAAAACCTGGAAGCGCTGAACTGCCTTTTCGTTCCGTAAGAGGCTCCTCAGCATTACCCATCCACGGCCTGTCACGAGAGATTCGAACCCAGGACATTCAGTTTGGCACGCAAACTCTTGACCTCTAAACCACTGAGTCAGCATCCAACGGTGTTAATGTTTAACCTCAATCAATCTACGACATCGCACGACCATGTTTCACTGTCTTCAGTTAGTAAATGCTTCACACCCGACACGGATTAGCTTCGCTTCTCACGACTTCTCACTAGAATTATCTCTTACATCTAGTTATTAGTGAGCATATGATAATTACCAGTATAGGGTTGTGGTTGATCAGTTCATGATCTGGATCAAAAGTCAACGATCAGCGATCAGTTTTTAAGTGGTGGCAAGATTATAACGATAACGTTTGCAAATTAGTCACAAATCTAAGTGAATTGATGACATCGCAATGGAGTTTTTTGAAAGCAATCAATAGCAACCTTAGGATGTAAGCTTGATGCTGTTTTGTACAGCCTTGAGAATTATTTTTTAACCTTGGAGAAACAGACAACGTTTAAAAAAAAATATATTGCCATCACATTATCATACTTCAGCATTAAAAAGACCGAATTGATAATACTAACTTTTATAATTCCACGTGCTATAAACTATGGTCCACCAGGGTGCTTGGTACCTATGTGGTTGCGTCACAGGATTGAGCTGTACTATTCAGATTGTAGCATAAAAGCCTATACGGTGTCTGGTTCTCCTATGAATCGGGATTGAGCTGTGCTGCTCGGGTTATAAAGTTTAAGCCTAGACGGTGTCTGGCTCTCTTGTTAAACGGGATTGAGCTGTACTGTTTGGGTTGTCACATGAAAGTCTGGATGATATCTGGTTCTCCTGAAAACCAATGTAAAATTACCTTGGCCCACAAGGGCATGTTATATAACTGATATAAATTAACATGTTTTATAAGTGAAACCCCTTAAACAACATAACGGCTCCTCATTACTTTGTTTTACAAAGTAAACCTAACAATTATGCACATTGGATTGATTAAAATATTTTGTATTTCAAACGGTTGAGAGATTTGAAGTGATTATTCAATTTGAGGATATTTTGCTTCTCAGACTGACTCTAATAGACAATTATAATGGGAAGCCATAAATAATAAAGTACAACCATGTCCTAAGTGGTGCATCTATCAACGACAATAATCGACAATGGTCGAGGAATAACATAAATTAACTGAAGTTAAACATAGAAACTATTGAGTTGAAGTTCAACTGTCTAATGGTATTGCAGTCTTCATAAGGTCTGACAGTTTATTCCCAATACTACTACTACTAATAATAAAAAATAAATAATGGTTATACTAGTCACTTCATTCAATACCATGATGATGAGACTATCATTGAAAGTATATTGTGAACCAACCTATTGAACTGGATAGATTAATATATGAATTTTTAAATACAACTATGTACCAGGTCATAACATCTATTGGAAGACATCAGATTTCACAAGTGTAAAATTGAATTACTCTCATAAACACATTGTATATTCAATCATTTACAGTTGAGTTAACAATCATATAAACCATAGATAATCTCAAAAGTGACATACGACATTCTGACTTTCATTCAACATCAGTATTACTAGATCTTACAGAAGTAATCAGACAAAGAAGAATTCCCCAATTATTTCTAGGATGTATGTTGTATAGGCATGTACACTTAACAGTTTTGGAGATGTACTACTTATTTGGATTACGAAAAGAAATCATATTTGTGTGTGTGTGTGTGTGTGGTCAGCTGAATAATTTTCCTTGACTAAGTAAGATAACATCTAACTTTGAATTAATTTGAATTGTTCAATATAGTTTATAATTTTCCATAAAATTATCATATTGATTATTATTGTTGTTTGTAGGCTTGGCAACAAAATACTCCGAGTAATAAAAAAAATTCATTATATTTGTATAAGCCAGTTATTCTAAGAATAAATAAACAATCTACCCAGTGATTAATAAGCAAAGATGGATAGTAGTTAGTAGTGAAATCCACGATGCACGTTTCATCCTATTTGAGACTCGTCAATTGGATGTACCTGCATCTCAGAGTTGATGTTCACTCTGCGACTCGAACCCAGTATCATTCGCTTCAAATGCCATCACGTTATCCACTTAACTACTGAGTTCTAATAACCACCTGCTTATGCAATAGGATGAAGTTATATTCACTTTGTGATGTTTACTTGTATCTTTCCATTGATGTTTAAAACTACGATTGATCAGTCTGTTGTTGGCATATGTGCATCCTATGCGGATTGCCTCGATATTGCTTTAAGTCACAAGCTTAATAAACAAAGATGGATGATATCTAGCAGTGGAATCCTGGACGCGCGTCTCATCCTATTTGGGACTCGTTAACTGGATGTACCTGCATCTTGTACTTGATGTTCACTCTGGGACTCGAACCCAGTACTGATGCAGTCCTAAATAACAATCGGAAGATACAAGTAAACAACACCAAGTGGATACCTGTTGATTAGTTTATTTAAAATTATCTAGTCAAACCTTGATATTGATATCAATTATGTTTCTAGTTCTTTCCTTTTTCTCTCTCTCTCTCTCTCTTTACAAATTTAGATATTACTTATCAACTTTATGGTACAACTCATGGATTATCACATTATTCTTTATTAAATGGATCATTAATTAATCCATCTCTATTACCTTCATTTCCAATATGTGATGATCAAAAAGCAATTCATTTATTGAATAATTTAAGTAGTATATTCACGGATCAATATAGTGAACATACTACTGATAGATTGAATACATTTAAAAGTATAGAAAGTAATTCATGTATGACAATTTCAAAACCTACTAATGTAATGGATACAAATCATGGTAACTATAGTTACAATTGTGAACAACAACAACACCACCACCATCATCGACAACACCACCACCACCAACAACAACAACAACAACAACAATTAATATTAAATAAAACAAATTCATTAGAATTAAACAAACCAACATTTATGCTTTCACGTTTATTAGATAAAATAAGTAATAATATAGAGAATAATGATTCAATTAGAGAAGTGATGACAACATCCACATCAACTATGAATAATACCATTGATACATTGATTTAATTCATTGAAAACAAATAAACAAACATTGAATGAATAGTTCATTGTTCAATTAAACAGTGTTAGTTACTAATGGATAGAAATTTTATGATGCAGTCTTATAGACATCATTTCGAGTTTCCTGTTGTATGTTTTCTATTTCATGTTTTCAATCCTCCTCTTCTTCCTCCTCCTCCTCCTCCTCCTCCTCCTCCTCCTCCTACTACTACTACTACTACTACTACTACTTCTTCGTCATCCTCGTCATCATCTCGATTAACCTTTTCATCAGTAAAGCAAAGATGATCTACAATTTCATTTGTTGCTGAAATCAATCATATTTCTTTTTTATAATAACCTTTTTAACGAAAAAAATATTGTTCATTTAAATGATCATTTCTGATTATACTACTTATATTACTTATATTGTTTACAATATAATATTAACCGAACAATTCCAATCATCTAGTAGTATATAGTTGTAACGAGAAAAAGGTAACGGTACCGTAAATACAATAAATACATTGTTATGATTGTATATACAGATATATACGGAAGAATAAAAAGAAAGCGAAAATTCTCTTTATATGTTAAATCCTTTCCATTTGTTTATGCAAGAGATATTATCATTATTATTATTGAATACGGTTAGTAACAATAGTAGCGATAATAATAATAATAATATGTCTTGTCGTTTAATGTTTCTTGTTATATCTGGTCGTCGCTGTAATTGAACGGAAGAGATAACCATTTTCTGAATCAGCACGGTAATGAAATATACTGCATGACTAATTAATAATCAATGTCGTTCAAGGACACTGACGAGAATTCTTTATACTGATTGTCTTCCCTCTTTTTCCACCCCATCGCCACTGACATGTCTTGTCGTTTAGTGCTTCTTTTTATATTTGGTCTTTGCTGATTGTTGTGTCAGAAACGCTTATCACTTATACTCGAAACGATGGACCTCTGCAAATAATAATAATAATATGGAAAAGTTGATCATTCTCGCTTGTTCTTAAATGTACATGGACTACTGAAACAACATACAATATTCTATGGTTCATTATTACGAGTTCAATATTCGAATCCCCAAACTCATGTGATATGTAGAAATATTGTTTTATTTACTTATTCGATTGATATAATAATGAAATATAAACAACTTGTGTTTAAAAAATAAATAACTTTTGGTTGTTAACATGGAAACAGAATATAAATGATGATAAGATGATTTCTATGATTGAAAATCTTCACCATACAATATTCTCTTCTAAATGAGACTGCCTAAATGATATAGTTGTGGTGTGGGCTACTTATATCCATATAAGTAGTATATAACGATAGTTTACGATATAGCTATCCTGCTTGATATGTCTGACAAGAATTTATGTTTAAAACTTCTCCTAACCATAGTCTTGTATTGAGTAGTGAAAATATTCACTTGATATTTATGTTCAGTTAGCTTTAATAGTATATTGTAGTGAATGAGAACAATAGTAGGGACAACCAAACGTATTCGGACACAGAATCACTTAGTAAAATGTGAGAATCATACAGTGAGCCCTTCATTTTTTTAGTTAAAATACTTCTGTAGTTATATCTGCTATTCTTAAACTGATGGAAGCAGTTAATTAGGTTTGATTTGAAACGTCCAAGTTCCTGATCAAAGGTCGGTACTAGATCAAATGTCTGACGATTTAGGTTTCCTCGTTGGATGCCCGTATCGATATGATTTACCTCCCAAATCCTTCATTTGAAAAATGTCTCAGACTTGATTTTTCTCTTGTTTCTACACCATTCACTCTTTTTTCTCATTCTCTTCACTTCGATCTTCTTGACATTCTCATGCTACGCATTCCACTTTCAATTGATGATACATACTACTTATATCAACAATAAAATATAATACTGTATAATTCATATTATTCTATATATTGCAAAGCGTATAAATTATAGGCGTATTATGAACAACAGATAATTCCAAAAACATCATTCAGTAAATAATTGCTACTGTCAGTATGCCTTGTGGTGATTGTTGAATGTCATTGAAATTATAAAGCAATTCTCAGTTGTGGGGTCGTGGATGTCCACTGTTGAGGATTCCCATACTAAAGTGAAATGGATATTTAGTACCATCCACGTATTCAACATTTTCTAATTACGATTGTATCGTAGTTTCAATGACACTATTATTATTTTATCAATAATACTCATATTCCTTCTCAGAAATTAACTTGACTGTATAAAAACAGATGAATCATTGAATTCTAACTCCATAAATGTTATACGAACCGTCAGATAGGAATTTCCAAAACTTTATCCTGTGTGTGGTGGGCGGCGTACACAACTGATGAAGAATGCTACATTAAGATGTAAAATAGTTATCGGATTAATTCCAGTCACTAACCGATATCTACATAAATGTGTAAGTAAAATATAGTGCATTAACACAACTATTTTAACCCTTATCTTGTTTCGTTGAACATTAGGATGGTTAACTAAGATGTCATTAACTTGAATTATGAAGTGATTAAGACAATTTTGAAATTTCTTTTTCAATATAAATTATAAATCAATGAGAATAACTATTTTATTCAGTTTCGTCCTAGTACGCAACTCATCTGCAGTAAGAATCTACGATACCGCTCGCGGGATTCGAATACAGGACTTTCGGTATAGCGCGTTGATGTTTAACCTCAAGATCGCTGAGTCGGCATCCAATAGTGTTAATGTCTAACTTGTTAGCTGATTGTTTAGTTATACTTGAGCATATATGTGCCTGGTCCTACGTTGTAGCTGACTGACTGAACCTAATGATATGTTTGTCACTGAATAAAATGAAAAACCATTGATCTCTATGGAGCATGTGATTAGGCGAGTCTTTAAAATATAACATATTTCCTACAAACCATGCATTTCAATATTCATTTGTTCTTAAAACCACGTGTCTGAATAAGAAAGTTTTCATTACCAGTTCATATTCATCAAGATTCTATTGATGATCCGATGAACAGGTTGTACGCCTTGATATGATCATAAACTTGAGCTCCCGAACATATATATATTCTTATTACTTTTATCATAAGCTTTCATTTGACCTATTGTTTACTGTAATACAAATTACCATCCTTAAGTTATACCCAATCAAGTAGTTACAGTATCTCACACTCAGCCACTTTTGGCCTGATCTTGTCTATAATTATTACTTTCTATTTTATGCTGTGATAACGCCGAGTTTTCTTTTATATAAACCGAGTACGTCTGAAATACATAACTCATACAGTGGAAGTTGAGATTGTGTTCTGACATTAAACAGATAAGGCTAGACAAGAAAGACCAATAAGAACTCAAAGTTAATTCTAGGCTGCTCGTAACGATTAACGCATTATTGGTTTGACACATTGCCATAGTCGTATAAGTCGATGTTGTAATTGGTGACTTAGTCATATGATAATTAATAGGGCCTAAGAATATAGCAGTTCATATAAATGTTAACTCAAAATGAAACTAGTTTTTAAATCCAATATATATATATATACTGTGAGCAGAGTCTGATTAAGAACTAATTAAAGCTATGGTATATTTAACATTAATAGATCATTGTATCCCAATGCAGTAATTCATAGTTAACTCAATCTGCATACAGTTTGAATGTTCTAGATTTAATTACTGAGAGAATTCACATGTATACACACCTATGTCATCACATATTAGGTTGAAAATTCTGTTTCAATGATCAATCTCTGTATTGTAAACTCGGTGAGACTATAATTAGTGGACAATCTTTGAGCGACCCACGATTGACCTTGAGAGTGTACACTTAATACCCAGGACTAAATAAGGGTTATAAATCTATGTGAGGAATTACAATTATGATTTACGGTTAATGAATTCGATTTAGGGTTTGTTTTTGTTTTTTTTAAATCAAGAACTGTAACATCAGCTATAATGTCAACACTCTATTTATCCAAATGGACGAGTGAATTTCTCGTCAAAATTTAAAAATCTCTTATTTTATATCTAAATGGTTCATCTATAAATTATAATCTCACTGTAAACTCTTCTCAAAACAAAAAGTAAACGTAACCTTTCTCTAAATCTTCTATTCAGATGAATTAACTTTTCCTGTTCTCTTTTCTTTTCTTTTCTCGTTTCTGATGATCATTCTCATTAATCAGACACTTGTACATTTATTCCATTCAATTAAATCAATTGCTTATCCATTTATTTTACAAATTCTATACAAAAAAAAAAGAAAAGGGAAAACAACAATCTCTGATTAAGGACATTTCACTTCTTTTTTTTTACTTATTATTATCCTCATTATTTGTTTATATTAGTCTTGTTTTTTTTTCTTTTTGCATTTTCATTGCTGTTATCGTTGTTGCTGTCGCTGTTGTTGTTGTTGTTGTTGGTGGTGGTGGTGGTGGTGGTGGTGGTTGTGTTGTTGCCAATATTTATAAGATCCATTTGATTTGTTTGAATAAAATCACTTTTTATGGAACATTAATGACCATATAATCATTATGATGATTATGATGATGATTATTATTAAATTGGTATTGTCAATGGAATGTAAAATAAAAGTGATATAGATCATGAATAGATTTTAACTGTTTATTACTGTGTGTGTGCGTTTATGTGTGCGTGTATGTGTGTGCGAGTGTATGTAAGTGTGAGTGTATGTATTCCTTCAAGTTTACATTTATCATTGTCTATTGTATTGGTAATAATCATAATAATAGTTCCTAATGAACATAATGACATTCATAGTTAATAGTTTTCATTATTCCACTAAATAGGGTAGAGTATTTTAACCTATTCATTACATTATAACTTATGCTTCCACACACACCCCCCCACCCCTCCTTCTCCATCCATTCCCTGCCTCATCAGAATTAAAAACAAACAAACAAACAAACATAATAATTCCCTATTTTATTAAGGATATTTATGTTATTCATAAAGTGTGACTAGTTATTGTTACTATATAGTAGTAGTAGTAGTAGTAGTAGTAGTAGTAGTAGTAGTAGTAGTAGTAGTAGTAGTAGTAGTATTAATAGTTTTATTGTTATATTGAATTATCATATGAAAAAGCATACTGAATAATAATAATAATAATAATGGTAACAATAATGGCACTGGTAATGGTAATGATAATGAAAGCAGTAGAGAATAAAAGTGAATCAAGATTCCTTCATATTACATTGTTATACATTCATAATATCGCATTATATTCCAGTTTTTTATTCAATATAATTGATAATAAAAGCTTTTGTCATTCTATTTCAGTAGTACTATTA